GCGGCGGCCGTTGGGCGCGGGGCATGGCGGGCGCGCGCGGCGAGCGCGTTTTCGACCCCATCTCCTTCGGCAAGGACCTGCTGGCCGGCGGCGTGGCGGCCGCCATCTCCAAGACGGCCGTGGCGCCCATCGAGCGCGTGAAGCTGCTGCTGCAGGTGCAGGCCTCGTCCAAGCAGATCCGCGCGGAGCAGCAGTACAAGGGCATGATCGACTGCTTCGTGCGCATCCCCCGCGAGCAGGGTAGGCACCGCCGCCCGCCCTCCCTTCCTCCCTGGCGGTTACCCCCCAAATACGAGCTGCGGTGGCAAAGAGGAGCTTCTTCCTGCCCTGGCGGTTGGTTATCAGAAGAGAGCTGCTCTTTGAGAGAGAGTGAGGCCACCGGTGGCATCCTCAGGTGTGGGGTTTGGAAAAAAAAAAAAAAAAAAAAAAAAAAAGTCCAGTGTGCCACTGGCAAGACTGTAATTGCAAAGAGCCTCTAAGTTTTTGATCATTTGTATAATTTGACCATTGCTTTAATGTGGGGCCTGAGCACCCTCTGTAGAAGCTAAAATGGCGTGTACAGGCTGCAAGAGTAAAACAACACTACGCACTTTAGTGAAACCTTACCAGTTTCCACGCTATAGTATGCATAGGTATCCCTAGACTTGGGAAGTAGAGAGGTCAAAAATTTCCTCCTTTGTCCCAGCATTATTAGTGCTTCTCTTGTAGTTCTAGGAGATGTCCTTGTGCAAACACCTAGTGCAGACATCAGTGTGTAAGCATCAGAATAAATAAAGATTTCTAGTGCCAAATGCCTGGAAAGTAGAAGACCTGAAATAGGTCGKTTTTTACCTTTGCTACAACTTGTACCAAAGCAGAATTGTAGGAAGAATATCATATGATGTACTCAATGCAATACATACATTGTAAAAGTAATTTTAATCATTTCCTTTCTGTAGGATTTTTCAGCTTCTGGCGTGGCAATTTTGCGAATGTCCTCCGGTATTTTCCAACACAAGCTCTAAACTTTGCTTTTAAGGACAAATACAAACAGATTTTCATGTCCAAAGTGGATAAAGACACACAGGTAAATAATTTGTTGTGTCTTAGTTCTGTTTAATCAGTAAACAGCTTGAGTTTCAGATGAGATCGGTGCAATTCCTGGCAGTGCTTTCTTTCAAGATGGTTGGTAATTAGCAGCAGTGTGATGGTTAGATTTTTTTAAGAGTTCACCTTTGCTTTATAATAAGAAACAGTGAGCATGGCTTACTGCATAATTTACTATAGAAAACAATGAAAAATGTTAAAATCTCTTTTTAATCTCTAATGATTAATAACTTTATGAGGTTCATGTGAATAGCTGCCTATAATAAATCAGTTGAGTTTTTCAGAGCTTTGTTTGGAGTATGTAATTATTCTGGAGTTAACAGATGAAAGTAATAAGACTGGTTACTTGTATTCTGGCACTTAAAATTTTGGACCTTGTCCGAAAGCCTAGTTGCATTTTCACAGTTAAAACTGCATGACCTAAAACTCTAATCTCAATACATCAGAGGGTGGGAAAAAAAAAAAACACTCCCAGGTTATGGTACAAACGGCTGTCTGAATTTTTGGTCTCTAGTACCTTATATTGCAATTCTCTGTGACTGGGAAAAGTTCCTCAACTTGGATGGGCTCATGCAAAGACACCTCAGTCTATATCCACAAAATTAATTATAAAAGTAGGACAAATCTGGAACTGTGAAATGTTGATGCTGGCATTGGACAAATTTCATGCATATAATTAATTCATATCAGCAGAATGGAAAATAAGTATCTAATTTGTTTCATGTGAAAATAGCTGAAAGATCTGCTGTACTTGTGTCTGTCTTAGATTATCTTTTTTAGGATTTTGTGAGGTTAAGTTTTCAGAGTTAAAACAAAAACCTAATGTTCTGTGCTTTCTCTTCTGACATTTTTTTTTCTGCGGTGCCAGATACTGTTCTTGCCCCAGGCTTTCCTAATGGTGCTGACCAACAGGAATGCTGTCAATCATTAAAGTTTGATTAATCTCCTTGTATTGCATGCAAATTCTTGAGCTGTCCTTTTTCAATTAGAGCTAATTCATATGTAAAGAGTTTAAGGTTACCATTTCTTTCTTTTCTTTGTGTGGAAAAAGTAGAACATGCATGATGTAAATAACACAGTGTTTATAGTTCTTCAAATCTCTTTTCCATCTCATAGAAATGTTTCCAGATGGCTTGCATGTGTATGTACTTGTGACTCAAATTTTAGAAACATTCCATGAATAGCACTCAGGATTAATTTATTTAGAAATATAATATTGAGCGAAGCAGAATTTATGTTATTAAAGTTCAGGATGTTGGGATGTTTGGGATGTGTTTTGTACRGGATAGGAAATCAAGACTAGAGTATTGCTATACGCAATAGTTTTTGCTTAATTGGGTTATCTTTAGAAAAAAAATATTGAAAACTTCAGATTATGAGAATTAAAGAGTAAAGTAGCTTCTGCTTAGAAAGACAAGCTATATCTACACACCAGACACTTAGTATTGAAGGGAATAGAGACACAACCAAGCATCTTGAAACTGCAGCTGTCCTCTCCCCTTCCTGCTATTGCAGTCAGCAACAGTTTCTGCAGTGACACGAACCAGGGCGGGTGGCCAAGTCTTCCACAAAACAGATAAAATACAAGGCAGTTAACCTGCCCTGAGCTCCGTGCTGCTGCTGCACTAGCGAAGAAAAGCCCTATTGGATACCTCTGCCTGGTCTGCATTTGCTGCAGATACTTGTACCTGTGTTTCCTTTTCAGGTTAGCAGTGCTATGAGAAATGTTTTGCAAAACGTCTCTTTTTCTGTCGTTATCTTTTTCCTATTTGGTAAGCAGCGTAGGCCACCATGTAAGTATATGGATTGTTCTGTTTCTGCATTCATCACGGAGAGTTGATGAGAGCAGTTACATCAGGGAGATCATCGTGCAGCACTGGACAATTATAGATCAGTAAGATGTTATCTGCTATCTGGGTCACAGAAGCACTGTGTAATTCAGAACTTGAACAAGAAAAGAGCTTATAAATATTTTATAATAAAAGCAAAGATGGACAGCATGTCTTTTCAGATTATTAGGTACCTCACAAGTACCTAAGAGTATGTCTTACTCTGCAACTACCATTTTTAATGTATTAATTTGAAAATAATCTCATGTTTTAGAATGATCTAATTTTCCGTGTTTAAAAAAAGTTCATTCAGTATCTACATCAAAGGTCAATATTAGGTAATTATGTATAATTATGTGATACTGTATATTCATAATCGTACACAGTAGTTTTTGTATTTCAGTTCTGGAGATGGTTTTTGGCCAACCTGGCTTCCGGTGGAGCAGCAGGAGCAACATCCTTGTGTGTAGTGTATCCATTAGACTTTGCCCGGACCCGGCTAGCTGCTGACATTGGGAAAGGTAGTAAAAGCTCTTTTATGACATTTCCAATATATCTCATGTATTTTGGGTTATTTTTATTTATCTCATTTTAGTTATTTATATTTATCTCATTTTAGAGAAAGATATTTTTGACAGAGTATCAATTGAAAATTGTCAGCAAAGTTTTGGGGTAGAATATATTCTAGGTGTACTTTTCTTTCATTCAGACAGTTAAAATTAATTTCTCTAAAGCAGTGTCTGGAAGGCAGTAGAGCAGAGAAAAACAAAAGTATGTGCTCCTTATTGTCCTTGGTTTTCTGATTTGTCTATGACTGGATAAATGAATGCCTCTGACTCTATAGACCTTGAAGGGTTGCCCTAAGAGTCAGATGCCTGACTTGCCCTATTCCTGTCCTGTACTTGGCAGGGTTTGATTGATTATTCTTTTATTTTGGATTTTGTGTATTTGTCACACATTGTAGATAGTGTCTTCAAGTCAAAGCTTAAAGGAATACTACTCRCCATAAACTTTAGTAAGAATACATAGGGAGAGAGTGGAGAGTTAGGACTGCATGGAAGATTTTATTTTCAATCATATACAAGTATACTGCTGAATGGGGACAAAATGGAAATGATAAGTTATTTGGCCTGAATGTGTTTCAACAGCTGGATGCCAGTACCTGTTTGACTTTTTATTTGAATTTATTTTTGCTAGAATGACTAGTCCTCATCAGAATTCATAACATGTCCTCATCCATCCATGTGCCTGAATTTCTTTGTGCTTTGGTCTTAAGTGCAGGAAACAGAATGATCTATTATACTKTTCTTACAATTTTGCTGTGTTAAATGTTTCAGTCTTGCAATGTAGCTTTGTCCTAAAATGAAGGGTTCTGTAAAGCCTAAGAATATGCATGTTACTTCATAGAAACTTTCTTCTGTATTAGGTGCTGCTGAGCGACAGTTCCAGGGACTTGGTGACTGCATTGTTAAAGTTGCAAAGTCAGACGGAGTCATTGGCCTGTACCAGGGCTTTGGTGTTTCAGTGCAGGGAATCATTGTGTACCGAGCCTCTTATTTTGGATGTTATGACACCATTAAGGTACTTCTTATGAACAAAAATGTATCCATGCAAGATGTTTTGAACAGCATTAGCTATTGTTTCTGTAGTTACTTATGCTCAACAGAGAGTATATTTCAGAAGAACTAAGTTGTTTTATAGTATGGTTAACAGTAAAAATTAGCCAAATGATACTTGATACCACATTTGACACATGTTTTAAAGAACTGGCACAGACTGTTCTTGTTACTTTATTTTGCAGGGATTATTGCCAAATCCAAAACAAACTCCATTCATTTTTTCCTTTTTCATTGCCCAAGTTGTGACTACCTTCTCAGGAATACTGTCTTATCCCTTTGACACTGTCAGGAGACGCATGATGATGCAGGTATGGTCTAAATTGCAATTCTTTTCTGAAAAATATTTTTTTATAGTTTTATATGTGAGTTAGCAATATATAGCCTTACAGTGTTTGGGACTGTCTGCAGAAAAGGAAGAAATATCTCCAGAAAGAAAAGAAGAAAAATCTAAGCAATAGTACTGTGGGAGTCTAAGAAATGTCTTTAGTTCACACCACGGCTAGAARCTTTCCTAGAGAAAGTTTCTGGCTTTCTCTAGAAACTCAATATTTCTGCTCAGAAGCCAGATAATTGGAATAAGATAGAGTTGTGGATAGATGTAAAATCTCTCACTAGCCCGGCTCTGTGGCAAGGAGCCCTTCATCAGGCCTGAAATAGAATCAGAAATCTTCAAACCTCAATACAAGCTGAGAAACACTTAGCTGTATTTGATTAGATATGATGCCTTATTAGTTGTTACTGTTAGATCTTGTTGCTAGCTATGAGGTGATTTTATTAGGTAGTTAAAATAGTTTAAGGCATATTTCATAAAGCAAGTTCTCTCTATTTAGATCATCCTGTAACAAGGAAAAGAACTGAACATTTCTTGACCTTCTTCCCTGTATCTCTGAGAAGGTTTAGCCATCTGGAATTACAAAAGGTTGTCAGATTGAGAGTAGATTTTATTTCAGGAGTATCTTTTAGTACCCCAGGAAGTCAAAGGAAAATCAAAACAAATGTAGGCATAAAACTTGTTTAGGTGATTTCAGAAAATCTCAGGAGATATTTAACATCTGACGTAATGCCCACATACCTCTGGTAATCTGTCCTAAAAAAACAAAATCTTAAAAGCCTGCAGTGCACAAACACCATTGTTGCTGCTGACTTCTTCCTGTCATACTTTATTGCACTGTGTTTAGATTCTGTTTTATCCACTTAATTAGCAGTAACACCTACAGTTAGTGCTGTTTCGTTCATATGTACCTGTGCTTCTCCAAGTTGGCCTTATTAGAAGGATTGCATGTATTTCTGTTTTTTGCCACTAGGAAAGAGAATAGTACCAAGAATGTGAAAAATATAAATAGTAATCATATGAAATAAAAAGATTTTTCTARCCTAGAAGGAACAAGATGAGCAAATGAGAAGATGTGTATGTTGTACTTACAAGTATAGGTATACTATATATGCTGTCCTTGTTTCTTTCAGTTTTTAGAAATGAGCTATTGTTCTGCAGCTTCACCTATGAATACAACTGCCATTCAGTATGATTTTTATGGTGGTGAAATTAACAGTGTACCTTTGGAACCAGTTTCTTACTGTGACACTCTGTTCTCAGAAGAAGCTGTGATTAAATATAGTGCCTTTTATTTCTTCAATTAAAAGTATATTTGGCAGTCAGGAKAGCTTTCTCCAATAATGAGCACAGTACTGTTAGTGCTTGGGTAGAAGTTAGCTCTGTTAGTTTAGCACTAACACTTATTAACAAGTATCCATTAATCTGCATGTATTTAAGTAGATGAAAAACATTATTTCAAGTGCTTTTTAGCTCTACTTTCCTATGTTTGTTATATAGTTTTATGTGAATATTTGTCTTTGCTGTATTTCCTGCATCTATTATATTCAGGAAAATGATAGTGACTTCACATTAATTTCTAGAAGGTATAACATGTAACGCCATCTTCATCAGAAAATTCAAAGTTGACTTTCCTACCTGTAGATACGAGAGTGTAAACTAAGCAAGATATCCTCTATAGACATAATCTTGTGCTATTATATGAYGTGTAGAAACTTACAGCTAAAATCTTATGTAAACATTCAGGAGACAAGCTGGATACTCAAGGCTTGCAGTATAATGTAACATAGTTAGCAATCCATATATATTTTGTAAAGATGAGATAAATACCTGAGGTGCAGGACATAGAGAATTGGGTTCCAGATTTCTGAAAAATATTTGTCTGCTAATGGCGATGATTAYCTGCCTTCAGTTTATTTMCAARTCAAATACCTGAAGAATCTCAGTAAATCAATTATTTTAGCAAATTTGACTTGTAATCTTAGAGCCAGATGGAATCTTTTGGCCACTGTAGCTCCAACACTGAGACTGTATGCAGCATTTTTAGGAGAACAGCACTGTTATCAGTGGAATGAGTTCTTACAGACTTCCTTAGGTTTTGAATCAAACTGCGAGTAATCATTCTGTTTGTGAATCACTAATTAAAATGCAATACTTCTTACAAAATCGTACTGGCTCTCCTGTACAAAAAGAGACACAGTGTGTAATATGATAATCCCTGATGTGCCTATTTTTAGAGAATAAGCATTTCTGAATCGAGTTCTTAGAGCAGAGTTAACTTCTGCCAGCTTAGAGCACACTCCCTAAGAAGTGTCGTGGAGTGAGAGAAGTGTCAATCTGAGGCAGCAGGCAGTGACGYTGGTGCTGCTTAGATGCAGTTTAGCATCACATCCTCTTATAGCACCACTGATGTTACAGGCTGCCCTGACGCGAGTGCRGGGGGAGGCACCTGTTTACAGAGCCAGCTGACCTGGCTTTGCCCACTGTAAAAATCTGCCGGTGACAAAATGCGGCTGGGTTTGGCTTGAGATGTAGCTAATTCAGGTCGAATCCAAAAAGAAAGAGCAAAATAGTAGTGTCTTGTTTCCAGTAGGATTTTACATAGAGGCAGCAATTTGGCATTAATCTATCTGGAAAAGTGTACTTATTTTTTGTTAGTGAAGACTCTGCTCCTCCTGYGTTTGATCCTTCACATGTAAGCATGACAGTAGTTGGGGCTACGCTCCTCAGCCTCTCTGTGTTTTTCCATTATCATGATAATCAGGACCTTAATGATTTTTGGAAAACAGATGGCTGCTGGATGGACTCTTTTGGTTGCTAATGAAGTGAAGTCTACAAGTTACTGCAGTGGTACTAAAAAGGAGATGAAAATGCAATGTAAAAGTTTCTGAAGTATTGAGACACTCTTAGGACTGGAGCGACCTCATTTAACTCCTAAGCCTTCTACTTGCCGGTAAAGCTTAAAAGAAGCATCACAAGAAGGATCACAGCCTTTCTAAATTTAGCGGTAGGAACCAGCTAACAGAGCATTACATCAGATGAATATTTATTAGTGAAAAGATCTTGCCTTGCACCTTGGAGTAGGTGAAGCATGAGGAAGCTTTCTGTAGCGTTCTTTAGCAAAGGAAGACAAATTGTTCTGAGCATCCAAGTGTCTTTTCTCAGTGCCGTGCGGTAATGATTTGTCTTTATTATTTGAATGCAGAGTGGGGAGACTGAGCGTCAGTATAAAGGAACCATTGACTGCTTTCTGAAAATATACCAGCGAGAGGGGCTTAATGCCTTTTTCCACGGAGCGTTCTCCAACATCCTTCGTGGAACAGGAGGAGCCCTGGTGTTGGTCCTTTATGACAAAATTAAGGAGGTTTTCCATCTTGATACTTCAGATGGTTCAGGATCTGATTAAAATAGTGGATGAACATCTATTCTGTTTGTACAATGTACATGATAGGCTTTTCATTGTTTTCATGGCATGTTTTTTAGTTGAAACGTTACACAACTCAAACTGTAGAATCATTTAGATGTTTCTATGAATAAGCATGTACTAAATCAAATACTTTGTTTTGAGGGAACTAGAGAGCACTGTTTTCATTCAAGAAATTAATTCCAGAAAATGCTTACCTCGTTTAAAGTCCTGAATGTTTCTGTTTATTGATGCTAAATGTTACACATCTTGATTTTACAGTACAGCATGTGCTTGAATATACTTGCTATCAGCAGCTTACCTAGCCTGTCAGCAAATCCCATTGTAAGTATCTCCACAGTTGAGCTTGCCCCAGTTTCTACATAAACCACAATAAAAAGGAAAACCTTATTCTAGGCTGTTGCTGCTTTACATGCTTTTTTAAAGACCAGGACAGGCTGGAAAGAAGTTTTAACAGTTTTTTTGATAAGTTAGCATTTAGAAATACAGTAACTCCTACCTCTCTCTCTGTCTCTCCCTCTCTCTCTTTTTCTGGTCTCCTCAAACATTCAGAAGTCATTTAACTTTTCAAGCATATGTTAATACATTATTTCTTCAGGAAATGTAAAATGGTCCAGGATTCTTCCTTGTAATAAAGATAAATCTCTCAATCTTCATTTCCTGGGGAGACTTATTTTTACCTTTGAGGGTAATAATTTTATACAGGGAAAGAAAACCCAATTTTTTTGCAGAATAGTGGTGATTTGGGGACTAAAAGCATTTAGGAGGCATCTATTTAAATAAGTTTCACAGAAGTTGAGGCGGGAAGCACCCTTGATGTGCCTCACAGACCACTCAGCTTCACATGAGGTCCTCACATCCTCGAATTCATTTAAAAAAATCTTCCCTTATCCAAGACCAGTTGCGATGTGCAGGCCGAGGATGGGCAGTCGGACGCGGCAGAGCCCAGCGCACTGCAGACGCTCACGCACTGACACCCTTCCCGGTGCTGTCCGGAGGCACGAGTGCTGGCACACCCAACAGGCTGCAGCTTTTTGCCCAGCTGGCATGGGTGAAATGGCTTCGCGCTCCCAGACGGAGCAATCGCTCTGGCGCAGAGCCCTGCAAACCGGTTTTGTTCCTGCGTAACTTGCAAGGTTTGGTTTAGCCCGCTTGCCATCTCGTCTCTAACCACAGGAGCCGAGCTCCCAGTGCAGCACGTGGAAAGGCCCCGGGCGCTTCCTTGTCGCCACCGGGATCTCGGCGCGGCCCCGCAGTGCTGCCGGGCGGGCGCGGGCTGCCGCCTTGCCCTCAGGGCTCCCACAGTCCTGGTTGCCCCAAAGGGGCCGGCAGCCATGGCGCCAGCGTGCCGCAGCCGCCCCCAGTGCCACTGGGCGAGGCTGCTGCGGGGCCTGCCGCCCTCTTGGCCCTTGCCCCCCGCCAGCCCCATAGGGTGGCGGTTTTCCRCCCTCCGCGGCCGCGAAAGGGTCAAATTTAACACAAAAGTAGAACTCCGCGCGGGGCGCCGGCCCCTTTAAGGCCGCGGGGGGCGGGGCGGCCGCGGCGTGACGTCGCGGCGCGGGGTGTCGCTCCAGATAACGCGCGCTCGCCGCCCTTCCAGATCCTTCTGGAACGCGCGTCGCCCGCGGGCCGCGCAGCCCGAGCCCTTCCGGAAAGAGCCGAAGCGGGAGCGGCGGCCTCGCGGCTTCCCCGGCGGGCGTCGCAGCGCGCCTGCGCGCAGCGCGGTAACCGCCGGTTGGTGGCCGCCGCTCCGCAGTGGGGGAAGCGCGGCGGGCGCGCAGCAGCGGGCGCCCCGCAGCCGGCACGCTCGGCGCTGCCGCTCCAGTCGCTCTAGGCCGGCGGGCAGCGGGAGGCGCCAGCTCGCCGCCATGTCCGTGGTGGGCATCGACCTCGGCTTCCTCAACTGCTACATCGGCGTCGCGCGCAGCGGCGGCATCGAGACCATCGCCAACGAGTACAGCGACCGTTGCACCCCGTGAGTAGCGGCTCCCTGGGCTCTCCCCGGGCCCTCCGGGTGCCCGAGGCAGCGGGGAGCGGAGCCCGGAGCTGCGGGGAGGCAGCGGGAGCCGCCATCTGCCCCCCCTTTGCTTTTTCCCCGTGGGGTTCGGGGCTCTAACGGCCGGTCTGGCGGCCGTTGCTGCGCGACTCCCCGATCCGCGGCCGCGGGAGCGCGCTGCCGGCAGCCGGGCTCGGCTCGCAGCGGGGCCGCGGGCTCCTTCCGCCAGCCGGTACCYGGAGGCGCCCGTTTGGGGCGGGAAGTCACCCCAGAAACGCTCCCCTTCCCTTCGACCCCCTCCCCGGCGTCAGGCTCCTCCGTGTCCTTGAGCCGCCGAGCGGCTCCTCCGCACAAAGGAGCCCGCTCCTGCCCTTGGCTCGGCCGCTCGCCTCGCCCCGCACCGCACCGGCGCATGGGGCGGCTTCCCCCGGGAGCCACGGGGCAGCGGGGGCGAGGCTGGGGAGGATGTCGATCCGCCTGGGAAACGGGCGAGCGGCGCCATGAGCTCCCTCTCCGCGAACCTGTCCTTGCTTGCACAGCGCTTGCACCGCGCTGCATCTGTTGGCTGTGCAGTACCGAGGCTTCGGGCGGGGGGGCTGCGGCCGTGGTGATGGGATACGCAAAAGTAGGTGGAGATTTTCCCCCTATGTTTCTATGGGCTACGTCTCGGATTTTTGGAGAGCTCCATCTGTGCATAATTTCCAAGAAAGGGTCAGGAACTCATATAGTACTCGTAAAACTTGGCTTTTGGACGGTGCTTGCCTTAATAGCTTGGATAGCTGACAGCAGAAACGTGTTTCTGCTCTGTAATCCTGTATAAACTTCACTGCTACTACCATGTCAGTCTTGGAGAAATGTTACACTTGGTAGTGCTTTACAAAGTCTTGGAGAAATCCAGAGAGGTGTTCTGAAATGCATGCTGTTTGTATAGGGGGAAACAAAAAAGCTACGATTTTATGAGAACTGAAATTCTGAGAGCTTTCAAAATCTCAAGAAGCCTCCCTTTCACTCGCAGAATTGTTGCTCGGTATCCCTGGGCAGCTGCAGTTTCCTTCCCCTTTATGATGCAGAGGGCTTCTAATTTCCCCCTGTTCATAGCACACATTTCTTCCTGCAGACACGTTTTCCATGTAGTTTTCCATTATACCCAAGTAACTGCTTCCAAAATATTTGCAGAATGATTAGGAAATTAAAGCATGGTTAGTGAGACGGTACCTTGTGAGAACATACACTCAGAGGCATTGGATGCCTCAGCTCAGGTGACGCTTCTCCTGGCTTCTCTTTCTCCAGAAAAGCATTAGAAGCTTTTTAAAGCCCTATTATTTTGAAGTAACTCCCCAAAGTAAATAAAATCTTRGGATTCTAATACTGCTACGTTTTAACTAAGCCTTTTTTGGACTGGTGTTTGGGTGGTGGTCTAAGAGGTGTGTCTGCTCTAGGTTTTATGTGCTGTGCTGCATAAGAATACCTGAGCTAGCCCTGGACAAGCTCATGCCCTCGGCTGCCTCGGTGCCATGAAGATRTGCAAGGATATGGGTTAGGCTCTAAAGATAGGCTGCTAACGCCTGCCTTGCGCAGGGCTAATTGCGCTTCCTGGGCAAGGCTAATTACCACAGCCGGCTGCTGCCTTCKGAGCCTGTTCAGGTGTGTGTGCAGAGCAGCGTTAGGGCAGGTAAYTTTGGGGCTGCAGACAAAGCTCTGTAGACTACCTTCGGGTAGTCTATGAGCTTATTATCACGTGTTAATTGAACAACCTCTAAACCACCAGTCTGGTGTTGCTGTTCCTAAACCATTCAGGTGTGAGCCCTTGGGTTAGCAGCTTGACACTGGGCCTTTCACGGTGTGTTTTGTGATCTACGTCTTCTCAGCTAGGGCGTGGGATTGCCAGTGTTTTTACAGTGCATGTTTATTTTTGAAGTGTTAGTAAAAGTTGGGTGGAAAGGAAGGATAAATACTCTGTCATGAAGTCATCCATTTTGGGAAAACTTGACATACATTCAAGACCAAAAGACTGAAATTATCTTGAGATATTAACTGACCCCTCTGTAATTCTGAATTAAGATCTCCACCCAGTCTGGTGCAAGCATTTCCAGTAACCCTAGGCAAAATGACTCTCTTATCTGCTATATCTCACTAACATGGCTTTGTGGAGGAAAGAAAGTTGATAATTTGTTAATATTTATATATATATATAATTTGTTATTAACTTTTTTCAGCCCACAAGCAATTAGTGTAATTACAAACTGTAATTAAAATGATGAGGTAGCATCTTCTCCAAAACAACGTATGGAAAGGACTGAAATGTTCTTCTGGTCCCTAATGTGCCTTCTTAGATRCAACAGTCAAGTTTACAGCCAAAGAGAGCACGTCTTGGTGTGTGTTTGGGGGGTTTTTGGGGTTTTTTTTGACTTTTTTGACTTTTTTCCAGCCAAGAGCGAGTCATGTCCTTATGGTCCATATGGGACCACAGCAACATAAGAAAATGATGAAAGAAGAAAACTCTCATGTGCTGAGATGTGAAGTTTCATGCCGTGTTATAGGTGGTTTGAAAGTACTGATGTCTCRCAACAGAATCCAGAAAAACCCTGCTATAATAGCATTAGCAATTTGCAACCATTATCCATAAAATAAATGCATTGTAAGCCAGTTGGAGCCTTTCTGACTTGCTTTTTTTCCCCCCAGTATTTAATTCAAAAGAATAATTGGGCATGGTAATACTTAACAATAAAAATACAAAATGCATGTTGTTTGTGAAAGCTGAGCTACTTGTTCAAAATCATCRTGCAGTGCATTTTCTACTTGCAGCAGTTAAATCCAGGGAAGGTTCCACATGTTTAGTGTGGTCTTTATAACAGGAAGAGGTTGCTAGATAGATAACACTATCACATTGCACATGGTGCTGCCTTTGTAATGAAGACGGAGAGGAGGCAGGAAGCAAGCTACTGTTCTGACCTTTATGCATTCACTAAGCAACTCAATTTTCACCTCATGAAATGTGGATTATAATTGGTATTACAGCTGAAGAATTCTAGGCAGATCAGTTCCTTTCTAGGGAAATGGTTCCATTTCACATCTCTGAAACGAAGGTGGCAACAGCAATGGAGTTGTTCATACTTTTTTGTAGGTTTTGTTGCTCCTTGAACGGYGGCCAGCAGCTAGTGGCCCTGATGYTCAGCCCCGGGCTGGCGGAGAGGCTGCTGACTGCAGCAGCAAGTGGCCTCACGTGGCTTAGGACCCTGCTGGGGCTTGGCCCTGTGCTGGGGCTGGACAGGGAGCTCAGGCAGCCTGAAGGGCTGTGAGAAGAATCAAGTGCCACGAGCCTTCATAGYGAGGCGCTTGGCAAGCCTCTTCCCAGGCCACCTGCCCCTCTGGGCTGCCAGCCACCAGTGCCTGGTAGTCCTCAGTCGCAGGAGGTTCTGGATATGCATTTGGTAGTTTTGACTATCCTGGCTCTTCTGGTGTAGGTTTCTTTTAATGGCCAATTTAGGATTATTGTTATTAAAGAATCCTAAAATGTGAATGTAGTTGTAGCAAGCCTCAGGGCTTTGGAATCAGAGAAGCCTGACCAGCAAAATTCAGGTTTTTATAGTATGTGTCACACTTTCAATTATGAGTTGCGACCCTTACAGTTCTTACTTTTATATCTTCATTTTGAAAGAATATCCTGTGCAATTCTAAAGAAAATAATTATGGTTGGTAATGGTATCTAAACTAACTTGTAAAGAATAAGCAATAGCATTTTACTGCAAGTGCTGGTGCTTTGTATAATAAAGTTGTTAAAGATTAAATACCATATCCAAGTTCTACTAGCGTGTTGTCTTTTTTTAATTATTTTTAAAAGTACTATGGAAATATTTTGTTTTCTTTGAAGCTGATTTTTTTCTTTTTTTCTTTTTTTTCTTTTTTTTTCTCTCATAGAGCATGTATATCTTTAGGATCCAAGACACGAGCCATAGGGAATGCAGCAAAGAGCCAGGTAAATGGATCAAAAAAAATTCGCCGTCTAATCTGACTTCTTATGTTGAACTGTGGAAAGAATAGTAATCAGTGAACTTGGTACTCCTCTGTTGCAGAGGAATTACTCAGAGAGGAGGGGAGGGGGAAAAAAAAAAAGCTACTCTGTTCCCTCATTTAAAATAAGCCTTTTTTCCTTGACCACTTGTCACTGCATTAATCAAATCCACAGTTAAATCTGTTGTGACTGTTGCTTAATTTTTGAAAAGCTAAAGCAGTTGAAGAGTGAAATTTTAGGATATAGATAATGACTATTGTTCATAAAGGGTAATGAATGAATGCAGCTTAGTAATTTACTGTCTAAAGTTCAGAAGGGAGTAAAATTTCTCTGTATTTGGGGAGAGACTCTGCCCAAAACTCGGTCACCTGCTCTGCGAGTAAAATAAAATGACCGAGCAGAAGACTTCATAATGACCCATATGAATTTCCAAAGTCAGAGTAGGTGAAGCCTTGCTGCCTTTCTCACATACCTGCATCACGTTAGCATGTTGAGAGGAGGACAGCTTCTCAGCAGTATGTCAGTAATTGGCACTGGTGAAGGTTATGGAGCCTACTGGTAACGCAGTGTACGCTCGCTCTCTGGCACAGCCTGTAGCATTTGCTTCCTGAGAAACTTTACACTGCTTATCTGAGCTCAGGACGTGAACCTTCCTCATGAGAAGGTGCCCTGCCAGTCCTGCTTTTGTCCAGCTGCGAAGTGTGGCATTTAGACTGGTAAACTCAGTTTATGCTGGAATCTATTACCCTGGAGCAAATTCTTTTAACAGTTGAAATAYTGTTTGTTAGAATTGTCCTATTCTGTTCCTAAAATAGTTATGGTGAAGCACTGACTAGGGAATAGTTATGAGGAGATTTTTATCCCCAGGTGGGCTCTGAATTAAAGCCAGACTTTTAAGCAAAGGGAAGGCTTAAATCTGTTGCTTTCATGTAGGATTAATATAAGCAGTAGTTTCAGTGTTGCAGTGGCTGTCTGCAGCAGTTGAGTGTACACTATGATAATCAAATTATGTCATACTGTATCTGAAAAATTTTAATAAAAGKTGCAGTGAAAATTGGCTGCATGCTTGCTGGCAATAAAAAGGGAAGAAAATGTGAGTTTTATAATGGAGACCTATTTTATTTTAAAATGCCTTTTTCCKATGTGCTGTGCTCCCATTTTCCCTTGCTTTCCAATGAATGCATATTGCTTTAAATAAGTCTCCCAGTTAGTGCTTCAAACCCAAATTAAAAAGTCCCTTTCTAGATAGTCTTTTATACTRTGCATCTCATGGTCAACCAAAAATAAACTGTTTTCCACAGATTGTCACAAATGTAAAAAATACATTACATGGCTTCAAAAAACTGCATGGAAGAGCATTTGAAGATCCTTACATACAGGCTGAAAGGGCCAAACTTCCCTATGAGYTTCAGAAGATGCCAAATGGCTCTGTAGGAGTAAAGGTGAGTTTAGCTCAAAGTTCAAAAAAGGTTAAGTATGGYTTATATTTCCCATAAATAAAATGTACTCTATGATAGTTTCAGTTAAAAATCAATATTTTTTCCCCTGCTGTAATGTCTGCTCAATAGTATACTTTTTTTTTTAGCTTTGACATGTCAGTTGAGCTTTCATATCAATTTATTAGCTTTGTGTACTTAGTGTAGTACCTTCTATTTTATATTCCCAGATTACTTTCAAATAGTTTTAATTATTGTGCATGACTCATGACTGTTAGTCTTAGCTGCGTTTTAACTCTTAGGGGAATGCAGACACCAAGTTTCAGGAAAACTAGATAACGCTCTGAATTTTGAATCCAAACAGGTTATTTATTCTTAATTTGCTTCCAAAGTAAATGGCTTGAAACTGTTGTTGTCAAAACTCAGACTTCCTGATTTCCAACTGTGTGTGTCTGCCCTTAACACTGTCATTTGGAGACAGTGCACTTGGGAAGCCACCACAGTCAGCCTCACTTGCTGCACCCAGGGCTGCCTTGCCAAGGGCTTCAGAGCACATGAAGGAGACTTCTTKTGCTACTTAGACATACTCCTGTTGTGCCGTATTAACTGCCAGTGTAAACATAGCCATMGTTCTTTTTTCTGGCATTCCCTGCACAGCAGTGTTTGGGGTTGCTAGAGAGACCTCGGTCAGAGAACTGAGGATGTGTAACCTCATATGACCCACTCCAACTGTGGGTCAAAGGTACAGATGTGTTTCCTGGCAGGACAGAGTTGCTGGAGGTGCCTTATTTGCTCCTGCTCCACCWTATGCAGCTTAGTGACCTTTGGGGGAAACAAGTGTTCACTGCMTTTGTTCCAGAGATTGGATTTTTAGCTCATGTCAGGAAAAGCAGGCTTTTATTTATTTTTTAAATCATTTTTWAAATAATCCTTAGAAATAACTGAACTGTCGAGGTTTCCTATAAATAGATGTTCAAGCAAATGGAATTGTTAAGATGGAAGTAGCATGAATTCCTAGTGTGAATTGACATTTTAGTTGTATGTCCACAGTCTGATGTTAAAATGAGGTCTCAGAAATTATAGAGAAGTCAAAGCAGCAGATCTTAGAAATGAGGTGATATATCTCTGAAAGGGTCTTGGATTTGTTGTGGTACTTCCAGGGAAAGGTGAAAAACCAGAATCTGCAGTCTTCAGATTAGCTCTGGATTTGATAGGACTTCAACTTCAATTAGAAACCTTCAGCAARGTCCACTTGCCCACTGATGGAGGAATAAATGTTTGTCCATGCACATGCACCCATTGGTACAGAGGAATCTTAACCTGAGAATTTATTACAGAGTTGCTACTTTATATTTCAGGTGAGATACCTAGATGAAGAAAGACCATTTGCAATTGAACAGATAACAGGAATGTTGTTGGCCAAGCTCAAAGAGACTTCAGAGAGTGCTTTGAAGAAGCCAGTGGCAGACTGTGTGATTTCAGTAAGTTGTAATACGTTGCAAATCTACACTGCAATACACAATCTTTCAACTACCTAGCTATTTAGAACTGATTTGCCTAAATAAGTAGGCTTTTATGGTTTTTTTTTCCGATTGATACTTCTGTAATCAYGTGACAAAATGAAATTCATTAAACCTGTGTTTTTTGAACAGAAAATACCTATCCAAGAGATCAAAGTACTTGTAAAACGGATCCAAACTGTCTGACTCAGTACTAGATAACTAACCTGTTATAAATGGGAACTGGCCTATATGTGAGTGTATGCACTTTCAGACAAGCTTCCCAAGTGTATGTTAAATTCCTTACTATAGAAGGATTTTTTTTTTTAACCATCTGAACTGCCACATTTGTTTGTTAGTTTTTCTCTCTTTAATAGTCAATTTGTTATACCTATGGGACTTGGTACTTTGATAGTGCTACTAAAGTTTTGGTCCTGACAGAAAATTTGAGATTCCTGCCCTTTAATTTCTTTTTTTTCTTTAATGTCTTTTTTCTGGTGAGAACTCTTGGCATGAACTATTGGGATTGCCTCTTCCTTGTCAGTTAGAAAGAGAGGAACTGGAAAAAGCTGTCTCTGGAAATCTGCTTTGTGGGTTTTTTTTTTTTTTTTTTACTTAATGTACAAAGACACATATACAAATACAAAGATTCCCATGCAAACAGGGAATCTTTATTAATAGACTGTAATGATAACTAATGATTCAGAAACTAAGAATAAAGTTTTGTGGCTTTAAGCTTCACTGAAGTTTAAAAGGTGAAAGTAGGTTGCAACCAGTTCCCAAGTGGACTCTGACTGTGTTTTGGCTATTTTTGCTGGAATTCAGTATTGCAGTGCTAGCTTGCAGTGTGCACGTAATAACTKAAAATGATACAGCATATGGCTTAGCTTCAATTGTAACACAAATCCAACACCTCAGAATTAAGCTTYACACAGTATTTTTTTGATCTTTTCTTAGCAAATACATGTGTTTAGAAACATATATGGATCTTTTTAGAAACTTAAAAAAAATACTTTGGACTAATAATAATCTTAAGATCAAACTTCCAGTAAAAGAATCTAAGGAACRAGATCTTGATGCATAAATGTAGCTTTAAATACCTAAGTGTGGATTTTTGGTAACAACAAAATGGTTGCTTTGAAATTAAACCATTTTTATGCATGTTTTAATTAATTTGCTGCATTCAGACTGCCTTATTATTCTGAGACTAGTTACAACTGTTTCTTGTGGTAGGAGATTGTTTAATGGGTACATCTGATTTCTCTGCATTCAAGTTCATACGTTACAATATCCTGTATAATGACTTCTTGTGAACAGGTACCCAGCTTCTTCACTGATGCCGAGAGGAGATCTGTAATGGCAGCTGCACAGATTGCAGGATTAAATTGTCTCAGGCTGATGAATGAAACGACAGCAGGTAAATGGGCTGCGTGCACAGGAATAGCCCCCAGCACGTATAAATGTGTTTAGGGGTTGTCTTTTCCACCTCTTTCAGGCCGTTGAGTCTGCCAGGATGACAACACAAGAGCATTGCCCAACTGGGAGCTTGAGGAAAGCTGCCCCAGCTGGTACTGCCCAGTCCAGTTTGGGAACTGGAAACAAAGCAACTCTGCTAGTGGTGTGGTGCTCTAGGCTTGTTAGACACCACAAGAGGAGGAGAGCTGGTTAACTAGAGCAGGCTGCCCCATGGACAGGGAGGGCTACTCYACTTCCAGGGCGAAGCTGCTGGCTCTGTTCTGGGACATAGAGCTGTACTGGGAAAGCCTGAGCTAGTTGGACAAGGTCTGATTGCTGATCCAGCTGGGCTATGCGCCTGTCCTAAATTCTCACTTAATCCTTGTTAGCACTTGGGAGGAACAGAGCATGTTAGTTTGACTAGACGTGAGGTAGTTAATCTTATTTCTTAGTGCTTGATGTAGTTAAAACACACCTTCTTACCCACCGTGTGCTCTTTAAGCAGAGCAGAAGAGTTATGTAGGAGGAACAAATATAAGCAGCATTGTTATTTTTGTACTGCTTTTACCATATTTTACATTTGTATACAGCTTCACTTTAATTTACATGAGTAACTTCCCTATGTGTTTTTTCTCCAGTTGCACTAGCCTATGGCATATACAAGCAAGATCTGCCTGCCTTGGAAGAAAGACCAAGAAACGTGGTCTTTGTGGATATGGGACATTCTGCATATCAGGTTTCAATCTGTGCTTTTAACAAGGGAAAACTAAAGGTAACTTGGAGCTCTGCATTAAACCTTTACGTTAAAGCTTTAATAAGTGATATATAAAGTTTTGAGAAATGACTTTTTGGAACTAGTAAATACCTGTAGCAAATAACTTGAACATGCTGTATACTAAAAACCCCCTGGTGTTCTTGGCAAGGTTGTCAGAACTTTTTTTTATGAGGTACAGAAGTGAAATACCCCCAAACTGTTCTGAAAAGTGGTTGACAGCTAAGTATATGCGTGGTGTTTGTGCCCTGTTACCTCACTGAAGCAGGTGTTTGTATTTTCTGATAATCTTGTAATCTTTGTAGTCATGCAGCTCACTTTTTTTTTCTTTTCAGTAGAATGGGGGATTGTTGAACTGCACTTCTCATGCCATGCACTAGGTCATGTGAAAAATAAGTGAATGATCTTTCAATTTCTGCACTTGTCATCTTTAAGTTTAGAGTGGTGATGGTAGCTGAATGTCTCTAAATCTGTCTTTGCTAGCAAAACGTGGCCACACAGTCATATGAAAGGTGGAACTCTTTGTATTTCAGTTACAACACAGGACTAGTGATAGCATGACAAGATAACTACCTCAGTGTACAGCTGCTTTAGTGAGCTGGCAAATTGTGCAGGGGCCATCGCCTGGTTTAGGAAGTAGTATGGTTAATGTGTATGTATGGCAAGGGAGAGGGGTAGAGATTGTGTTGTTAGGTGAGCTGCATAGGAGAGCGATCCCTAGATCTGTAATGTTAAGTTTAATAACTTTTTTTTTCCTGTGTAGGTCTTGGCAACTACCTTTGATCCTTTCTTAGGTGGTAGGAATTTTGATGAGGCTTTGGTAGACTACTTCTCTGAAGAATTCAGGACAAAATACAAACTGAATGTAAAAGAGAATCCCCGAGCACTGCTGCGACTATATCAGGAATGTGAAAAACTAAAGAAGCTTATGAGTGCAAATGCTTCTGACCTTCCACTTAACATTGAATGCTTCATGAATGACCTTGATGTCTCTAGTAAGATGAACAGGTAYTGTGTGCTGCTTTCCCTGAAGTGGAATGAAAGGTTGTGTCTAAGCTGGCTTGTGATCTGAGACCTCCTTTATTTTTTCCGTTTCTGTAGAGCTCAGTTTGAACAATTGTGTGCTGCCCTTCTGTGCAGAGTGGAACCTCCTCTAAGAGCAGCCATGGATCAAGCTAGTAAGTAGGAGTTAGTAAAAGTATTTCTTTTAGCTCAAGAAAGTAGCTGGTAATAGTTATCCTAGATCCCTTTAATGATTATCTTTTGATGTATTTTTGTATTTATTAGAATTGCAAAGCTAAGTACTGAAAAGTTAAATGTAAGTTCCATTCATCTGCTTGTCATGTATGCATGATCGCATTTCTGCCTCCCTTAGTGCACAAACCACTATGCAACCCTGGTTTACTGACTCTCCTTCACCTTGTGCAATGGAAAAGGTTGGCCCTCTGAAAGCTTCTCTCTCCTCTTAAGCAATGATAGCAAAACTATCATTCCTTGCCTTAGCATTTTTTCAAATGCCTGGCCAGCTTGTTCCATATGTGATACGTACCTGACCTCACTGATCTGAGAATTTGGCAATAGATACTTGAAGTAAGATACTTGAAGCAAGATACTTGAAGCATGTGCAAATAAGTTTTTATTTTACTACTTTTTTGTAATTTAGGACAAAAATAGGCTTCCATAAGGATAGGAAAAGGCTTAATTTCAAGCCTCTTGAGCTTAAAAAGGAAAAAGTTGCCTTATGTCAATTGGCTAGATAGATAAAGGAATAAGTAAAAGTGGTAACTTCAAGAGGAAGAACTACCCCAGCAAAATCCTGCCAGGGCTAATAGCAGTTAGAGATCACTTTATGCATGTGTGTCCTGAATGAATAATTAAAGCTATTCTGCTAGAACAGGGTAATACTCTTCATGAGTTTTTAATGCAGGCTTTTTTTCTTTGTTCTATTTAGTTTTGCCTCACAATAAACAATGAGGTGACATTCCAGATCGCTTTATTMTTGTTTGGGAGGGCTGAGGTGTTGTCCTGTGGTACAGGGCAGCCGTATGAAAACCCTATTATACCACTTAAGCTTACGTAGAGCAGAGAGGGGATGCATATGGACAATGCGTTTTGAGGAACAGCTATGCTGAAATAACCACTGTTTGGCTTCTGCATCTCCGCAGTTAGGCAACTAGGAAACTTAACAGCCTTGCAGAAGGGACACAGCTTTTTGACTATGTTACTAGTTTTTTACTCTCAAAGTTGTTCTGGGCCGTTGATTATAGTCATTGCCTGTCATGGTGCATAGATAATAAGGAGTTGCAATCTTGTCTTTATTGTGCAGACAATTTTTTGTCATCTTGGTGATAACCTAGGACTCTGCACTGTCTTTTCTAGGACTTCAGCGTGAAGATATCTATGGTATAGAAATTGTAGGTGGGGCCACTAGAATCCCAGCAGTGAAGGAACAAATCTCTAACTTCTTTTGTAAAGAAATCAGCACCACACTAAATGCTGATGAAGCTGTTGCAAGAGGCTGTGCCTTGCAGGTAGGCTTATTAAAATTAAACTTCACTATTACTTGTTTAACTTGATAAACTGCTGAAATATAACTAAGCACAAGGTACTACATCTGAAACTATGTGTAAGGTTTTAGTCTTTGAACATCCTGTCACAGTGACCACATAAGAAATTAGGGTGCTAAGTGATGTTAGCAGAATGGAGTTGCTCAAATTGATAATCCATACTGTTGCTTAAAGGTTTGGAAGCTTTGCTTAGATTTCTACTGACAGTTGCTAGCAAAGCAGCATCTGTTAACTGTGAATTAGGTAAGTCATTCAGCTCRGATAACTTGAATGGCTTCTTAGTAATAGTAGGAAATTTCTGTTTAAAAATTCTGTGATAAGCAAGACCTCTGTGTGACCTGTATTAATTTCTAGTCTGGACTCTTGTATTCACTTTTTCTCACTAAATGCATATAAGCAAATTCTGTTCTTTGTTTTCCAGTGTGCAATTCTTTCCCCAGCTTTTAAAGTACGTGAATTTTCCATCACAGATGTTGTTCCCTATTCAATAACATTAAGATGGAAATCTTCTTACGAAGAAGGAACAGGGTAAGCTGTATGCTGTCGAGTAAAAAGTACATTTGTAGATACCTTTAAACTCTGTTTTTGTGCTTGAACARTTTTCTTCTGCATCATATCTCTTGATTTACTGCTTAGCTACTGGGTATGTATTTACAGCACTTCCATTTGAGCTTAATTTTTGTGAAGTGCAGCATAAAATGTATAGTCCAACATACACTTACAATTCTTCGACATGGAACGCTTGTCCCAAGCTGCCTTTTTAGGTAAAAAATAATTTTGCTACTTGTTAACATGACTGATGATCATCAGCATAATTAGGTTTTCCGTTATCTGTTATGCTCAGTGGTTTAACTTCATTCAATGTTCACTTCAGGGAATGTGAAGTCTTCAGCAAGAACCATGCTGCTCCATTCTCCAAAGTAATTACTTTCCACAAGAAAGAGCCTTTTGATCTGGAAGCTTACTATTCCCATCCTCATGAAGTGCCTTATCCTGATTCCAGAATAGGTAAAAAAAATATGAAGAAAAAGCCAAACCCTAATTTTCATAAACAATGTGTTTGTGGGAAATRGAAAATAAAAACCTTTAGAAGAGCTTTTTTTATCACTGTCCTTCCTAGGTCATAGAAGATCCCAGGTTCTTTTTGGAAAGGTTTAACAGTCTCCACTGTTAAATACAGTGAGCAAACAATGTCAATGTCATCTTGCAGTAGTTTCTAGAAAAGTTAAAGAATGAAGAAAGTTTCTGTTCTGCTCTTTCTGAATGTTTTAAGAAAGCAGGTACAAAGCCTAGTGCCTTGTGTGCCTCTTTGAGCCTGTAGAAGGAATCTGGATCTCATGTGCAGGCCAGCTTGGCTTTCTAGAGAAGCTGAATAAAGATAATTATCTGTCTAGACCAGTATTGGTCCTGACCCTATTGATCTCCAGATAYGCAGGATACAGACACGACGCATGTGCATTTTGGTTTGTGTTTTAAAACTCGGTTACGGAGTAGGAGTTTTCTTTTGGAAGAGATGAGAACATAGTATCTCTGGTTTTAAGTACAGAAAAMAAAGCATCCTAGGCAGTATAAATTAATCAGTAATAATTGGGAAAACAGGTTTTAATTTTTTTAGTTTGAGCTTACATTGCTGGCAACTAAGTGCATAGTGTATATTGAGGCAGGAAGCTTCCAAATAGAGGTAACTTAAATGACATAAAGCCACTACTTTAACACATTTCTGGGGAGGACTARGACAAGTAATGTAAAACTCAGTTTCCTTTTTTTTGTCTTTTTTGAGCTATAGTTTAATCATCTCTTAAATGTTTTTAAGGGCGTTTCACTATTCAAAAYGTTCTTCCCCAACATGATGGTGACAATTCCAAAGTGAAGGTTAAAGTGCGTGTCAACATTCATGGTCTCTTCAGTGTGGCCAGCGCCTCGGTTATAGAGAGGCAGAACATAGATGGAGATCACAACGACACACCTATGGACACTGAATCATCAAGTAAGAATCAAGGCAGAGATGATGAGCTGGTATGTAAACTTGTAAATATCTCACTCCTTGTAAGTCTGAAGAGACAGTAATTGGAGATTAAATCATAGTGTAAGGCTTTTCAAAATTACCTCTCCACCCTTAAATTACTTCTTCAGTTATGTTACACATTTCTTTATGTCAGTATTATTAAAGTACTGATAATGTGATCGTAAGAGCAAAAGTGTAAAAACCAAATGATTCTAAGAATTGGCAGAGACTGGTGAAGAATAACMGAGCAATCTTAGCTATGTAATGGGAACATCCTGAGACTTGTTGGCTCTTGGAGCTTGCTTTTTCATTGGAGGAGGCAGTGAATTCTCATGCGTAGAAAGACTTCCTGATTAAGCCTTCCCCCTAGGTACTTCAGCACTAGTAGTTCTTATTAGCTGGTTTGKAAGACAAGTTGGAGAAGGTGCTGGAAATAAATGTGTGCCAGCTTTGTCATAAGAACTGAGAATGTAGCATTTCATATTTCCTGAGCACACTGTCTAGCTGCAACACAAATGCTGAAGATGATGGTGTCACCCCAGAGCAGCCTATCAGTCCCCTTCCCTGTTTTGGAGCAGCGTGGGTCAGCTCCCTGTGTGTGTGACCTCCTCAGAGCAGGTGGCCGGGTGGCCACGTGTGGCAGTCGTGTTGCGGAGCCGAGGACTGGGCAGCAGGAGCAGTTCGCAGCTTGGAAGGTGCCCCAAAGGTGGCCTCAGGAGCTCTTCTTGTTTGTGCCCTTCTGAAGCTTTGGGGGTTTAGGAACCTTGCAGCTCACAAGGGTGAGAAGAAAGCTAAAGGCAAAGAGCAAGAAACACGGTGGCAAGTTGCAGCTTGCCCCTCCAGCTGCCTCCGGCCAATGCCGCAAACGGCTCAGCGGAGCAGCACGTGTACCAGGCTGCAGAAGGCAGGGAGGGAGTGCCAGTTGCTGAGTAACTCTGGACAGAAAGCAAAACAGTTTGTATTTGTGCTCCTTAAATTTTCAGCTGTTCTCAGGAACAAGCTTTCAAGGCTGAATTGTACTTTAAATACGGAACTTAATGCTATTGTTGGACAAGTGTTTTGCATGTGATATTTGTGTATAAAGGAAACGGTAGAAAGGGACACGGCTGACACTGTGTTTAATCAGCACTGTACGCAGAGCATAGGGCTCTAGGGCGAGTAGTGCACTGTGCTCAGTATCAGTACAAGAGTAACTGCTTCAGTCCTCAGGCTTTCTGCTTGTTTGTAGTACTTCTGTTTGTCCTAATGAATGTATTATTTTACAATGATGCTTGTCAGCAATTATCTTTCGTTATTGAGGATGACACCCTCGACTCCGAGGAGGAGGTTTGTGGTGAATATTTATTTTTACCCTCTAGCTTTTTCCTTGTAGAAAACTTTCCCTCCAGTTGTTTCTTTTCTGTGTGAACAGTAAGAATGATAAATGAGGATTTTTCCCTGGCCTCAAATGACACAATTTGGCAAAAGTAGCTCTCACTTTTTAACCTTTATGGTTACAGACTTGCTGACTCAATTGGCATGCCTAACCTTAACAGCTGCAGCATGTAAGCCAGTGTTGGAGTTAGAACAGAGATGTTTAAATACATGATTTCTTATTTTACAGAAACAACAATGAATTATTTCATGTGTGTATGTAACGTGTAAATCTGGAAGTCTTAATTCCTTGTCCATGAAAGTAATTGTTGACTTTTCAAGTTGTAGCTGCAGCTCGCTACTAGTATGCTGGTTAATGTGGATGTCTAAATATTAGTCACCTTGAAAATCTGAGGCTAGGTCAGTCCCATGTTCTGTTTCAAAAAGTGTTTGCAAMGATGAACTATTAAAAGGCAAGCTTTTTTTAAAACAAAAAAGTGACTAGCTCTGATAAATACAGAGATGCCACTAAAGCCCACAGATTTAGAATAGGTAACCTATTGGTAAAGTAAAACACATTTTTAATTTGGGATGTGAGAGGAAGACAATTGGTCACGTACAGTGACAAYCTACTACAGAACTAGTTTTGTGGACAGATGCATGTGGTAATTAAATTATTTCTACATAAGATGACAAACTAAAATTTGAGCGAAGCAGTGTGAGATGGCAGTTCTGGCTGTTCCATAGAGAACTTGTGGATTTTTGCCTGTGTCAGTGTTGTGTTACTAGAATGTCCTTTACATACGTTTTAGATGTATTTGTTTCTAAATTACACTGGAGAGAGTATCCACTTGGCTTATAGTTCTGTCATAGGGAACAGAAGAGATTCTCATTATTTGGAGGGGCACACGCAGTTCACTTCAACTGAGGAAGAGGTGAATGTAGTATTGTATTGAAATAACTGTTCAAAGATGGTGGATCAAAACCATTGTTAGATTAAATGGTTCGTATATAATGTCATCTGTCATACAAATACTACAGTAAAGCTGTGCATTCAGTTATGTAACTCTTTTCTAGGATAAAATGCAAATTGATCAAGATGAARGTATTCAAAAAAGTCAGGCTGAACAACAGAGCCAAGCAGATGAGGAAACCGAAAACGCAGGAACTGAAACAAAGGTTGGTATTCCCYATTGAAAAGGAAGTGTTTCACCTGAACTTCTTTGTTTGGTGTTTTTCAAAATCTTGCCGTTAACCTTATCAATTGCAATACATAGAACCATATTTGGAGGATCACTGCAAGAGCTACATTAGAAATTCTGTGTTAGTGCTTTCATTTCTGATGCACTATGTGCTGAAGACTTTGAAGMAAGCCTCCTTTATTTAACATAATTTATTATGTTAAATATTAATATTTAATAATAAATAATAACTATTAATAATTATTAGTATAATAAATGTTATGTTAAACATATTTATTTAACATAATTTTATAGTGAAGATGGAATTTAAGGAAACTTAAGAAATGCTTGCTATGGAGACAAACATGAAGGAGTGTGTAACTTGAACAAGTTTTATTGATAGTTCTTCAGGTTACGTTTAAACAAACACCACTGGTTTGGTGCGAAGTTAAGGTAACAGTGATTCCAAATAGCAGTTGTGTAACTGTGCTACGCTGATCTCCTGCATTTGTAGCCGCTTTATTAGTTTGTTTTGTTATCTTTTGAGCATAAATGTAGTAATGCTGCTGTTCAAAATTTGTTACACCTGTAAATCTTTTCACAGACTGCTTCTGGAGACAAGCAGGATCATCTAAACCAGCCTAAAGCTAAAGCAAAAGTCAAAAGTATTGACCTACCTATACAGGCTAGCCTCTACAGACAACTGGGACAAGATCTTATCAATTGCTACATAGAAAATGAGGTATGGAATGTAAACAGGTGATGAATGACACTGTAAATAATGGTCCAAAAACATGTGCAGCCATAAGCCGATCTTATTACTCAATAGACTAAACCTTGGAGGTTTGTCTGTTTTGTTTGAGTGAAATTAACTGTTTCACTGGGAGTATTTGACTCTCGGATTTTCTTAAATAGATATTTTCTGGGCCTTTCAGGTATTGTTCGTTACTCTTAGGATTCTGCCAATATAAGCTCTGAGAAACAATCCGAAGAATAAATCGGGGAAGAATTTCTGTAGGACAGGAAGGTTATTAATGACCGCTAAACCAGGGTCAAGGCTCTTCCCTTCTAGTTCTCWGTGGTCATCAATTTGCTTTCGATACCGGATCCATTTTTTGGATCTGCAACTTTAACCCCTGCACCTTCTCTGTCCCTCTTTGTGTAGAAGACAAAAGAAGCACAAAGGTGCAAAAACTATCACTGATAGTAAATTAAAGAGTCTTCTGTCAAGTTCTGTGGTACAGTTTTGAGAAGAATAATGCTTCAGTTTGATCCTTTATTTGCTTTTTAGCTTAAACTAAGCTTCTCTTCATAGGGCAAGATGATGATGCAGGACAAGCTCGAGAAAGAGAGAAATGATGCTAAGAATGCTGTTGAAGAATATGTGTATGACTTCAGAGACAAGCTCTGTGGAGTTTTTGAGAAATTCATCACTGAAGAAGTAAGACGTATCTGGATCAATTGTTTAAAAAAAAAGTTTCTTTGAACTTCAATTTGATGGTGATATATATGGAGGCTGCAAGGAGTTCCTTGGACTTGTCTCAAAATGTGAAATTGGTTCATTTCACAGAGGTCAAGTTTAAGTTCCGTATGCTTTGACCAGGCCAAGGTCTGTAAGGAGGGATTGTGAATAAAGAAATACTGTTCTATGGTTGCAATAACAAAAAGCAGAACTGATCACTATTAGCCCCTAAATGTCATCAGAAGTTTGGCATTAAACAAAACAGTGTGTGTGAAACACAGCAACTCCCCTTGTGCTCATTTTCATTAACTTGGAGATGGGATTCCTTCCCCTCTTGAAAAGCACTGTGAATTTCATGTGCTATTGAAGTCCAATCAAAAGATGGTAGAGCAAGTGTTTATTGGGTTTTTGCAAACGCGGTGTTGAAAGAGCACTTCCCCTGCAGTAGTTTCTCTAGTATCTGTTTAAGTAAAAGCTGGCTGGGAGCAGACAAGCAGTTCTTGAAAGCGGCAGATGGGCCGCAGCAGTTGAAGGTCTGCTCTCCAGAATGCTGCACTAGTCCAGCAGTGCAGTACAAATGCTCTTCCACTAGAAACTCAGAGTGCAGGGCAGATGTTTCRTCCCAGGTGCTAAGCAACCTGTTCAGTTGAGGTTTAGTTCAGTAAAGAGGATAGACAAGGATCGCTGTTTCCCGATGACTGAAGATCAAGACTTTACTTGTAGATAACAGAGTCCAATTAAAGGAAACTTAACTTTAGCATATATACCTTTATCCAAATTTCTATTAGCTTTCCTTTTTCCCCAGCTATGCTACAGCACTTTCTGATCAACAGAACTTGGCATGTAAAGAAAACATGCAGGCATTCCTAGAAGATGCATCTTTCTTATAAAATTAATACTGAAGTTACATAATTCCTATAAACTTCACGTGCAAATCAGATTGTTAAAGCTGAAGCGCTTCTTGTATGATTCTGTAACTGTTAGTTAATGACAGCATTTCTTCATGAACTGGGTCTTAAACTGATGAATTCAACAGTTCTTTTCTTCAGTAGGGAGGTGTGTGTGTCGTCTTTGGTTTTTTTCTTTTTTCTTTTTTTTTCTTTTTTTTTTTTTTGTGGGAGGTTTTATTTATCATCTTGTTTTCCTAACTTGTTTTATAGGATTCAAATAAACTGACCTTGATGTTGGAAGACACAGAAAACTGGCTTTATGAAGATGGAGAAGACCAGCCAAAACAAGTGTATATGGATAAGCTTCAGGAGTTGAGAGTAAGGCTTTAAATTATTTTCCTATTTTAAAAAAAAAAGCATGTGTCTGTATGTTTGTGTACATATATATAAGTGTGCGTGTATACATACATACTTGCAAAAACTAGATCACCTAAAAGATGTATATGTTCACAGGCATATGCAGGTTTTGTAAATTTACTAAGCATAAAAGTCCAGGTTATTTCTGGATGTTTCAGATGGGCAATGAGCGTATAATTTAGAGTTAAGAATACAATTCTTAATGCTGGCTTTGCTTCTAATCTGAGAACTCTCAAATTAAGTCAAGAAGATTCAATAACTTCAAATAATAGAACTTGAACTAACTGCTATGGGACATTTTTTATAATTCTTACTACATTCTGATAGAGACTGCAGTGTGTGGGTTCTTCCCAGCCCGCCCCCGTCCAGTCCCTCAAGTGTTCATTAYACTTAAACTCTACGCTGATTTTTTTTCGAGCGTTAAGAAAATTACATAGCTGAAATGTTGTGACAGCAACTGTCTGTAAACCTAATCTAATTCCTGCTTGCAATGATATTCTGCAGTTAAAACAAAAATTCAGTTTTATGATACAGTACTTCAAGGCTGAAGAGTGCATTAACAAAAGCTTTTACTTCATTGTACTTATGTTTGCAGAAATTTGGACAGCCTATTCAGGAAAGATACATGGAACATGAAGAGAGACCAAAAGCTTTAAATGAACTGGGAAAGAAGATTCAGCTCCTTATGAAAGCAGTAGAAGCCTATAAAAATAAGGTAGAAACAAATTATTCAGGGAAAGAACTACTTTGGGGGACYGTGAGGCTGGCTGTGGTTCTAGACAACACTGAGGGAGTAACAGGCTGTTTGAAAAGCGTTCTTGGTTGTGGGCTCCTGCCAGCTTCTCAAGTGGTTCTGAAGTGCCAGCCAAAAAGGCTCCAAACCCATGAATCCAACGTATAGCCCGGGGGGGGGAATTCTTTTGTGTTGTTTCTTCACTGACTGGTGCCACTAGAAATTGCAATAGGTGTTTTAACTGATGGCTGTTAACCATTATTTCTATAATTTACAAGATATATTGAAATTAGAGATACTGAACTAAAGTAAAAATCTCAGGTGCCTTTTTGCAACTTCAGTATCAGCTTGTGTTTTTGCAATATGACCTAAAGATCAAATTTTCAAATATTTCTGAAAATATTCTCTGTGTTGATGTTCCACAGTCATTCTTCACTTGTTAAAGCATTTCTTTCTAGTGGACTGGAGCAGTTAGTCTGTCCATGAACTTCTTAAATAGGTGAGAAGCATATACTTTTTTTATACATATCTTTGCCCATAGGATGAAAAATACGATCATCTAGATCCTGCTGAGATGGAAAAAGTTGAAAAATGCATTAGTGAAGCTATGAATTGGTTGAACAGCAAGATGAATGCCCAAAATAAACTAAGTTTAACTCAGGATCCAGTCGTCAAAGTGGCAGAAATGGTGGCAAAAGCCAAGGTAAAACCATCTTCTTGAAATGTAGCTGTCTGGTAGTGTTTTTCTGTAATGCTAAGTTGTGGCCTGTGTATTGAGGTAGGATCTTGTACCTGCAGAGACTTGAGCAGCTATGGAAGAGCCATGAAAAGGGAGCAGCATTACTGCTCGTACTGACTCCTAGCTCATGCTTACCTCTGCAGGAACAGAGCAGGAGCTCTGAATATCTCTTTTAGCAGTCCAAATTAAAGCAGCAGGCTTGCTAGAACACAGATTGCTGTAGGCTCTTAACATACTGCTGGCTTTTTTGCTAGTGGAAGTTTGCTTTTTAAGTGACTAGATTTGATAGAATCCAAGTATAGTCTTTAGAAGTTATAGCGGTTTTGAAGATGCAGCAAATTTGAGGAAGTTTAGGTTCATGTGATGCCTGTGCCACTAACTGAACTCGCTTGTTTTCTCACTTGTGATGCGCCTAGGAACTGGATAGCTTCTGTAACCCCATTGTGTACAAGCCCAAACCAAAGGTAGATGCTCCCAGCAACGGGCAGGCGAGAGCTAACGGGGAGCACAATGGACCAGTGAACGGGCAGAGCGGAGCGGAATCCAAGCCAGATGCAGCCAAGGATTAYGCCCAGCAGACCAAACCATCTGGAGAAATGGAAGTGGACTAAATCCTACGTTTCTTTCACTTAATTAAAATAGTGCAAGTAACCACAGGGTCCATTCTTTTTGTCTGGTACACACCTCAAATGTTCAGTTATTCGTAGCTAACTTTCTGTCATTTGTTGTTGCAGTAGTTCTCTGAAAGTGTTTTATATTAAGTACACCTCTGTTCATTTCCACTGATGCTGCTTATGTGGAGCTTTAGCCAAATGTAGATTGTATAAGTCAGTTCAAGCTTTCCCAGTATATTTTATATCTCAAACATTCAGAATTGATATATAAATGGCAACAATCTACCTTATTTAAAGCTTTTATTGTGGATAAACCTCAGCTCCTTTATTCAGGAAAGGATACTGTATTGCACTACTGATGCTCAAGTATAGATCTAATTGCATCTTTATTTTGGAAAAATATTGGAATTGAAGTGGCAAACTGTCACTTTAAGCACTGACCTTTTCTAGTTATTGTATTGTTATAATTTAAATATTAAAATAGGTTAGTTGGCATACTAGTCCATCTTGTTGATGTACCATGAGAACTGTATGGTGTCTTTTTCATATAAATTGATGATACAAGTTTAAATATTATTTCAGAATCCCCATACCACTAACATATTTAATCTTAGTTATAAAATACTTGCATAATGGCTCTGCCATTTGCTGAAGCTGAGTGAGTGGTCTCATTGGACATTGCTGTACATAATGTACTGTGCTTATGATAGGATGATGCTAATATTAGTATGAAGTGGTAGAATATACAAAGACTGTTGCATAGGTTTCCCTTGAAAATGTCTTATTGCACATAGTACTATTTACTGCTCATTTCACTTTGAAAGAAGTCAGTGTCTTGATCACATCTTATTGTGAGGAAGAGAAGCAGCAGAAACTGCTTCTATAACCTGGCTCTTAGAAAACTTAATTCTGAGGTTGCTTAAAGGATCTTTTTTGTGAACTTGAAACAAATACTGACTGAGGGCTTGTTTAAGCCATGGTACTTGGCACGATCCTTTTGGAACAAGATTCTAAGCAGCCCACAAGCTGCGTGTTTATTAGCTCCAACAAGGAAATAAGAAATCTACTTGATGAATTTCTATAACTTAGGAGTTAGCTTTGGTCATTCACTTGATCTAATGGAAGTGTCTATAATACAATGTATTAAAAGTTGAGTCACTTGCTCTGTCTACTTTGACCAAATCTAAGCTCACATATTCTAAATACTTAGGTCAGTCATGGAGAAACTGAAGTTGCTTTTTTTTTCTTGACTTCAGTACAGAACCCAGCCACACTCAATATAAGAACAAGAGTAGGCTACTCCTACTACAGAAGGTGGTTTATTAGCCAAACCAGCATACCCTGAGCGGGTTAGTTGCACCATAACATTTTAATGACTTGAACTCCATTTTGGCAATGCAGTAGAAAAGGCATTGGCCAAACTGGCATTCCAGCAGCCCTTCTGCYGGGGCCCAGCTTGCTGCTATTGTGTGTGAGCAAAGTGTGAAATGTTCTTATTTCCCACTTGAGCAGCTGTTTCAATGAGCAGTGCCCTGCTTTGCCCTGCTGCCCTGCAGGGAGGGGAGAGCAGCTGGGCCCCAGTGCTGTGCAGTAGGTGAAATTCTGCTCTCCCCTGGTTTCCCAGGAGCAGGATCCATCACTTGCCTGTGTTGCTACTGCTGCTCAACCAGCCCAAGGGCTAAAAAAATGGCACCTTGTGACTGCTGGAGGTAACTTTGCTTTTATGTCCCTCCCCACTACAGATGCAGCTGTGGGGGACCTGATATTCTAGGTTTATATATTTAAATCCCTTTGAACAGCTGCCTGGCCTTGAAGGGAGCTGCAGCTACTCTGTAACCTCAGGCTTAAATGCTGCTGTATTTGCAAGTCTTAGGCAACAGCCCTGCACCTAGTTTTTATCAGTTCTTCGTAGTTTAAGGCAGCATGTGACCACCCAAGCTGCACTCACACAGGCTTTAATATTATACCAAGTGTCCTAAGGGCTTTGTTGCAATAGTGTAATGATTACTATATTAAAATATTGCAATCTTAAGACTTTAAATGTTAAGTCCTGTAGGTCTTCTTCCTGACACATCAGGGAAAGAGCACACTCAATAGAAGAAAGGTCTTAGGTAAGAAGAAAATCTAGCCTTTCTTTTTGGTCATTAAATATAAATTGTCTCCAGCATTTGTAATATATGAGAGAGGTAAGACCACAAGCATTGTTCTGCTGCCCAGCAGGTCGAGCTTAAGAGCAGAGAGGGTTAAGAGGAGCAGCAGAACAGTCAGTCCTYGCTGTGCATCCTCTCTGGCTCTAGCTCCCAGGGGAGGGAGGATGTTGCAAGGAGGAGGTTGGGAATTCCACGGGCCAAGGCAAAGCTGTTAGAGAGTCAGTGTCACATCTCACAGTAACATGCCCTTGTTTCCTCCTGTAAAAAGTGAAGTTTAATAGGACCCAGATCTACAATTCTCAATTAATTAGTAACTATATGCAAGTTAAAGGTGAAATTCTGCTTGTCAGACAAAATTATGGCCAATAGAATGAGTATTTTGGAGTATAAAGTTACAGGTTTTGCTGGGTACCAGCCGTAGTATGCTGKKTTTTTTTTTTAATATTTATAAATGGCTATGAGCTGTTAACACTTTCTGATGATTTCTTTGGAATGCCGCATGCATTTCTTACCTGTTGGAACATGTTTCTGCCATCYCCTAAAGAGAAGAAGACAAAGCAGTACCATCTTGGAGAACTCAATGCAGTTTTATTTTAAAAGGGTTTTGTCAAGGTAGTGCTTGAATTTAGGTAACTGTGCTGTTTGGGAACTAAACTGTTACTTGTTTTCATCTATAAGATGTTTTTTCATTTAAAAAGCAGTGATGATCTCCTTTTTATTCTTGAGCATTCATTATTCAAGGMAAATGGTTTTAAATTGATTTGCTTCACTAAAAGAGCTACTAGCAGCTAAGTTTAAAAACTGACTCAACTGCTTTTCCACATCTCTTACTATACTATATTGTAGATCAAGTCCAGGATTTGATTTGAACTTCCTTTGGCTGGTGCAAAAAGGAGCAGCCAAGACCTCTTGCTTGARGGCTGCCTGTAGGTCTGAGTTGCACTGCGGGGAGCTGGCTCTGCAGCCCCGCGGAGCAGCTGCCTCCCTGCCTCTTGCTTGCCCTCTGGGCAAGGGCTCACTCGGCCTGAGCACTCCTCTCCCCGTGTTGCAGGCCGTCTTGAAACAGTAAAACAGGGATGCTGCCCTGGGGGATGAACCTGACAGGAGGAAGCTGGCGCGTTTAGAACCGTGGTGCGTTGATGAAGCATCTGACTTGTAACACAAGCAGGGATTCCTAAGAGACCTTGGTAGAGGGAGGCAAAAGGAACTTGCGTCTCCCTGGGTAGCAGGAGAGGGGCCTGAGGGGATCYGGGGCTCTCACAGTACGACCCGTGGGGCAGCTGGGCCCCAGACTGCAAAGCGGCCGCTTTGCTTGGCGCCGAGGGCGCTGCTGCCGCCCTTGCCTCAGTGTGAAGGTGGTGGTGGGTTCCTTGAAAAGAGCTCTTCACCTAAGCATGCTACCAGTGGTTGTAGGTATAAACAAGAATCCTTATAGCCTCTGCTATTTGAAGGTATTTAATATTTCATGAAACACCTCAGTGTTCTGAACTYGATCCTCTGCTATAGCTTCTTCTTCATCTCAGATATTCCATATTTAAGTRGAGCTTTTGCCTGTGGGGATTAAGTTGAAACTTACTACAGAAAATAGGCAAATAGCTGGTAAGAGTCTTTCTTCCTATGTATTTTTTGACTCAGAATTGTTAGCAATATACAGCCTTACCCAACCTTGCAGTCTGCATAGTGCAATGTGTCAGTTTGTGCGATGTGATTACCAGACACCCGCTTCCAAAAATCTGGAACCATTTTACAAACACCACGCTCTGGATCAAAGCAGCCACCTTAGCTGCTATGGAAAGAGAGTCTATACATACTTCCCCCAGATCCATTCTAACATGAACCATTTTTCTCAAAACAGGGCCTTGTTTTTTGTGTTATCCCCGTGTAATACCTTAAGTGTCTGTTCCCTATGAGCCCTGTAAAGTCCAGGTGCCCACCTTAGTTGGGGAATCATAAGAAACAGCAAGGAAGCAGCTACTGATGCTGAAGTTGATTTAAGTGGCTGGAAGAGCATTATGTTGCCTTGTAGATTGTTTTTCATTGCACAAAATTTCCTAGAATTGGCTTCAGGCAGCGGAAGGCCAGAAGAAAAAGAGACAGTGAAGACTTCTTATGTAACGTGAATTTTTATTTCAACCCAGAAGATAACATTTGGAGTGTAGACACAAACTCTAGTGCATTAGATTGATCTGAAGTTTTAGTTCACTGCAGCTGAAATTTGAAGAGTACAGTCACTCTTTACAAATGACTGTGAAATTAGATTAGTTTTAGYGAGAACAACTAAATATGGCTGTTAGCACTATGTACAGAGCCTAAACTGGATTTTGCTTACATGACACAACTTGATACAGTCATTAAATTCCATTTTTCATCTTCCTGTTCAGAAGGAGATAAGAACGAAAAGTGGGTATCTCTGCAGCACGGTATGTAAAGAATTATTTTAAACAACAYACAGTGAGAGCTAGACCAGCCAAAAAATGCTGAATTAATGCTTAATTAATGAAGATGGTGATAGTCACTGAATGTTGCAAATTTGGAGTAGTTTGTTTACATATTTAAACATATCTCTACAGGATAGGGGAGGGGGAAGACAGAGTGTTAGAAATAAAGCAGTGTTTAAGTATGCAAAATGTTGACTATGTATGTAAATGAGATCTTAATTAGTGACAGATCATGTGCAAACTGACAATACTTCAATTTATTTTTTTGAATGGCAGTATAGATTGTCAAGGCTGTGTATACTTACAATAAATATATAAACCTGCTACTTGAACCATAAATGACCACCTGAGACCTAATTTTTACATTGCTGTTCCTAAAAGAAGCTGTGTCGGATTTCAGAATTGATGCACTTTGCCTGTGCATGCAGAACAGCACAGGTAGGAAACTCACAGGTTCAGACACAGCGTCTGKTTTCTCTCATCCTCTGGTTGTTCTCAGTCCCCGTCAGCTGCTCATTCTTTTCTCATGACAAACTCCACGAGATGAGTCATCTAGTAACACTGCGGTTCTTTATTCTCCCCCAGTGGGAACCCAAACGTGTTGCTACTTGTGTGCTAGGGAACTTCTGTCATTCCCACACCCAACATCACATTTATGCCTTTTTACCAGTTAGCAAGTTTCAAGGAACTCATCTTTACCTGAACAATGTGGTGGTGTAACGAGAACAAGTTCAAACTGTAATTCCTTTCTATCTTGGACCACTCGGAACTGCCCCAGCTGTGATTCGGTCTGCTTTACTGTGCTGCCCAGTGTCAAACATGGGACCTTTACAGATGCTGCTGTTAACGGAGGCCCTCATGGAACAAGCAAGTC